TGCGTTCACACATTCAGCACGGGCTATAGTGTAATTGTGCGTTAATGAACACTCTTTATGATAATAGTTGGAATATATGCACGGCTTTTGGAGGTATGGAGTTGTGATCCAATAAAACAAAACTAAAAAAACAACATTCAAAAACTCTCACAGCTGCAGGAAATCAAATGAGTGCTTCTTACAGTGATAATTAAGCAGATTAATGGGAAGGAATTTACTTCAAGCTGAAAAATGGATTGGGAAATGAAGCAAATATTGAACATTAAAATATTAGTGTTTGGATATGTTCATTAAAAAGGCAGTAGCTGATGAAGTCTAAAGAGAAAGACGACTTTTATTAGTGAAATTATAATCAAAGTATAATTAAGTTCCATGCCACTGATCCGCAAGAGCTTTCTAAGAAATTAAGGCAAATTAACAGGGACAGTATTAGGCATAATGTGACCTCAGCAAATAAAAAACAGTTCACATGATGTTCACATTATATAAGAATGAGCTCTCCATTATGATTTGTGAGATTACATTTTTTTGAGTTTCTACTGTGTTATAACGTTTCCTCTTCCAAAAAATGCCTGAAGACTTTTAAGATGACATACATGCATGTTTGAATAATTTTGCAATCTCTTTCTGGCCCTATTCAAACCGTCCAGCTGTGCGGTCAGCTGTAAGATTCTGTCCAGTGCTCGCCCCACAAGCCTATGGCATCCGTGCTCCCACATGACAATTCTCTATAAATATACAAAAGCTTGATACAAAATTCTATACAACAACTTGGCAAACCTGATGCAATGTGCAGTAGTTTCATTAGCTGGAGGCATGATAATTGTGTTGTGATAGCGTTGTGAAGGGGGAGGGACTTTGCATGGGGAGCAGACAGAGGGGAGACTCAGAGCATCAACAACTAAAATTTTACTTATTTGTTATATCCTGTTTTCTGCAAATATAGCAAAACATTAAAAATTTACAAGGTGATCTAAATATGTTATGGGCAAGCAGTTAATACACCACAGAAGCAAAATACCTCCTCTTTAGTATGAACCATATGTGCTCACAAATTACTCTGAAAACCATAATCAATGCCAAAAATGGAACCATATTATGCAGTAGAGGCTCAAACTGTATCAAAGGGAAAAGGGTTAATTTAAATATATATTTAAAAGGTGTGAGTGAATTGGCGAGGAGAGCAGGAGGTCAGAACGTGCGAATGTAGTAATTTCCCGTTATTACAAGGTGGCCGTCCTTGTAAAAATGGGGACAAATCACCTGACGCCCCCAAGACCACTCTAGTGCCCGAGTCAGGCTGATTACCTGTGAGGTGAAAACTGCTCAAGAGGCCATGCATAAAGGAAGGAGCAAGAGATTGTAGGGCACAACAACACATCATTTAAGAAATACTAGGGTCCTGTTTATGAAAGAGGGAGGGGCTATAGGTGGACTTTCAGAAAGGTTGACATTGAAAACAGCACTAAGAACAGGATTAGGGTTGGGCGATATGCCAAAAAATTTAGTCACTGTATTGCCACCATTATCATTCAGGTTGTATTATTTTGCATGGTGCTGCTGATCTTGACAGCAAAAAGTTCTATAAAGACTATAAAGGCCTTTTAAAGTCTCCAGAGAATCAGTGCATTATTGACTTGTTGAAGGACATGAATGTCAAACATTTTACACAAATCAACATCCTTCATATCATATTGTAGCAGAGAAACTTTTCTCAAATTCTTAATTTAGATGAATGGGATTCCTGATTAACCAGAAATGCCACCACAAAGAAAGTGTAGTTTAGTACTATTTAGAAGCGTAAGTGGGCAGGGTGGAATAAGCGTAATTTTCATATCAAGATTTAGATAGTAGCACAATTCATGTTCACCTAGTATCTTTAAATTGCCTTGATGAGGTAAATGTCATCTGCTTCTTCAAAAAGTTGCATTGCACTATGATTGGTTAAATCTTACTGCCACACTCAGAAACACACAGAAACTTACAGCAAGTCACCAGTAAGAGGCGCGGGTAGACTGTGTTTAGAGATTACCAAATAATTTTCAAAAGAATTTATCTAAATTACGCTGAATTATAAAAATGATCGAAATTGCCAAGTTACCAAAGAGTGTAAACAATCACAAGTTATAATTTCACAACAAGATTATTGAAAGGGACACCTTGGACAAAATTTTCGAATAACAACTGAACGCCAAACAACCCACGGCAACAAAAAAGTTCCCTGACTTTTTAGTCCAATTTGACCTTCTATTAACTATATCAACTTTCAGACTATTTGAGAGAAGACTGAAAAACGAACTGTTTAATACATGAATGACATTAATTTATGAACATCCATCCATCCATTTTCTTCTGCTTATCCTGGGCCAGGATGCAGGGGCAGCAGTCTAAGCAGGGACTCCCAGACTTCCTTCACTCCATACACTTCCTCCAGATCCTCTTCCCTAAGGCGCTCCCAGGCCAGCCAAGAGACATAGTCCCTCCAGCGTTTCCTGGGTCTTGGGAGTGTAAATGTTTAAGTCCCAGGCGATTCAATTCGATATGGATTTTTGGGGTCCCGATTTATTAAAAAAAAAAAAAAATAATCAAAATGATAAAGTAAAGGTATTGTTCATTCCAAAACAAAAAACACAATTTTACATATTTCAAGTTATCAGTTGTAACAATCCTTTATGTATATTTTACATCTGCACAGAATAAAATTCCTCTTAGATCAGGTAAAAAAATAATTTAAAAAAAATCTCATAATTCAAAAAGTAACAGATCTACTCAATAATTAGGCCCGGTCATTTCTATACTGCAGTGATTGAAGACCTATTTATTTAAGTAAAAAATTATGATTTCTGAATTAATTGTTAAGCTGTAGAATTTAGACATAGAATCACATGATGTGAAACTACAAGGTTAATTGTATCTATTCAAACTATGATTCTGATTCGACTGCGATATTGCTTGCAGCCCTAATGGTGACTTAAAAATGACAAACCCAGCTGTCTGCACACATCCACCACACTGTCTGGAAATCTGCGAGAGAGCCGTATCTGAGGGCTTTGTCAGTGACACAATGTAATTTATCTCTGATCCCCGAATAAAGACGGATCTGCTCCTCCATCACAGTGTCCCACTCACTCCGCAGAGCATTCAGCTGTCATCAGAGCAATGCGTTTGTCCAGTCTAAGCCCACATGGAAGAAAAGATACAAAAACAGTGATTTCCAGCCTTATTGGATCATTATTAGGGGATGATGTGGTAACGCTTCAATAGATAAAAGTCATGGAGCTATTTGTACACTAGATATGACAGCTGTGTGAATGTGTTTACGTCAAAAGGGCTGATAGGAAGAAATGACTATGAATGGTATCCAAGAGCAGAGGCAAAGATACCATCAACTTCAGCGTATTCAGATAAATACATGGGCTAGCTCCAATAGTGTAAAAATGTGTACACTAACAAAGTGTAAAAGTGAGTTAATATGCTGCACAAAGGCAACAATTTACAACAAACAGAAGAAACAGAAGAAAATAATAGAAAAAAAAAAAGAAAAAAAAAAAAAAAAATTAATTCCTAGAAAATAGGGCTTGTTTAACACTGGACTCTGAGAAATACCAGGATAATGATCTATAAATAATTAAATGTAAAAATGTAAAACATATTACTAATTCATTTTTGCATGTAAAGCATATGATTAATTCATTTTCTAAAACTTAGAAAAAAGCAATCATCTGAGGAAAACACATAACTAAAGCAGGGAAAAGGGAGTTTAATTTAGGCATTATGGTGTTATAATTATTTTATAACTATTTTATGTTGTATTCAATGGTTCAAGTCAGTACCAATATGGACAGTGTTTTCTATTTTTTATTTGCTATCATATGGTTTTAGATTTAATGAAATAATAGAAAATTGTGGGATATGATTCAATCATGGTTATAAACAACAGACACTAAAGAAGTGAGAATGTGAGGATGCCTTTAGCTGGAAAAACTCATTTCAAACAGCAGTGTTTAAGGCAATATAAAAAAAGGTTTAAGCATGTTTAACACAGGATTCTGAGAAATACCACCAAAGGATAATGATCTATAAATAATTTAAATTTAAAAAAAAAATCGTCATTTCTTTTACGCTCTGTAAAACACATTATTAATGCATATTTGCATAAAAACAACCACAAAATCAATGGTCCAAAGCAAAGTAAATTGGAGAGAAGAAGGAATTTAAGTGTTAGTGTGAGTGTTATTATTTTATTACTTGAACTCAATGGTTCTACTAGCATGTCAGTATCAATACGTATGTTGTTGCTAGTTTATGGTTTTGCTTTTACTGGGTTTATTATTTAAGTAAGATTAAATTGAGCAGAATCCATTCTTTTTAGAACCCATTGGAAATTAAAGTTGGCCATAAATGTTGCAGTGTGATACATGTTTAAAGAGGAGGCATCATGTAAAATCAACTATGAGCTTTTTACCATGTCATAAGAAACATGCCTGGAAAGGTTTGAGATGTTTTATATGTTATAAGTCATCCATGAAAGATCATGCAACCTCTTCTAGGCCCTATTTAAACCCTCCTTACGGTAGCTGTGATTCTGTCCAATGCTCAGCCCATAAGCCTATGTCCAGCCTACAACCAAATATACAAAAGTGGGATGCAAAACAATACATTACATTTTCACTAACCTGATGTGATACGCAGTGGCTTTATTAATGAAATGAATGCCAGTTGTGTTGTGATAACACTCTGAAGGCACAGTGATGGAGAGAGGGGGGACTTAGAGCATCAAAAAGAAAATGAAACTTATTAAACATGTTAATATGTTGTTTTTTACAGAAAATAGTTTTTAAAAACAATAAAAGATAACGTAGTGATCTAAATATGGTAGGTGCAATTAATCCCCCATCTTTGGCACTCTCCAGCACTATGAAAACTATTTGTTTATAAAATATGCTATATACTAGTAAGTAAAAGTGGATTTGGATTTCCAGGGTATAATCAAATCAAACCTTGAGCTGGCTGGCCACCTCGACGTGGTTGTCATAGACCAGGACGTTGGCGATGAGGTTCTCTCGTTCATGGGAGAAGGAGGAGGGGCCGTCTGTCACCCCTGGCTCCACCAGGACCTTCAGCAGTGGGTGTGGACACCTGGTCCCATCCCACACCTGGACCACAGCAATAGAATAGAATTATTAATGGCAGCGCCCTGATTTTGGATACTTATGGGTCCAATGGAATTCAAGTCACATTCATTATAATGTTATTTTAGTGATTTTGTTGTCCATATTTAAAATATGTGTGTTATTCTGGGAGTAACAAAAGTATTACAAATTCTTAACAAATTCAGTATGGCCATTTCTGTGTGCATTTCTCACTCTATCTCAAATGCACTACTTCAAACTATAGTCCTAACTTGATATGGTCCAACCACAGCTACTAGATATAGAAGAAATCTCCTCTAAAAATCCTTCCATAATTCAGAAAAAAATATACTATTCATTTTACCCATGATAAATAATTTGATGGTTTATTATTATTATTGTCATAAGGTGCCATGTTCCTTTTGACAAGAACGGAAAATGTGTTTCTCTGATTGGTTACCTGCCTGTCAGTCACACTCCTCAGAAATCAGGCAGACAGGATGTTGTCCCAGCCCCACTCATTTTGTAAAGTATTGTAAAAGCATGTAGCTGGCAAGGCAACATACCCCCTGGGCATGCCAGTATTACAATTTGAACAATTTGGTTTAGTAGATCTGACAGATCTGAGTAGCTGAGTTTGCTCCAATTATTTCTGAGACAATAGACATAACGTGGAAAAAGTTTTTTCAATTCAATTTCAGTTCAATGTTTCCCATTGCTCCTCTCAACCAAAACGTAAATACTACTAGATTAAGTGGTCCTATAAAGTTTGGTAGTACATTAGCACAATGCAGTTGGAACAGTGGCTTTTTATCTAAACAGCATGTACTGGTTGGAATTGTGTTTGTTTGTTTAGTTGTGTAACAGCCGGCTGCTGCTCCCAAAGAACAGGCTGGCAGTACACCAGTGTGCTGTGCCAAATACAGATCACATTTATCTGCTATCAGCGGCACTGGCACCGGAGCCATCCACACTTAGGCTCTCCATTCTGCTCCCATAAAACTCAACAATGCTGCCATCACAGGGAAGACTGAGTATTATTACACAGGGCATAGGCAAGAGAAACAGTGGTTTTAGACATACAATTGCAACAACCAAATACATTCAAAATTATTGTAAAAAAACACTCAGATATTAAGAACTTCTTTTAATGAGTTTCAACTTTCAGTCATTTGTAACATTTTGAGGACATTCTCCCATTCAAAAGATATGATAGTTTATTTTAAATTCCTAATTTGTCATGATTCTGGAGTTTGGACCCGTGGACAGATTATAGGCTCACTGAGAACATTAGCATAAGCTGTCATGCCTTTCTGCAGGGATATGAAACTGGAATATTTCATGCCAAACCTACAGTATCCAGTCCTCTGGGTAATTCTTTTACACATAAAACACCATTTTTGTTTCGGCTAAAGATGAAGCAAGAGATTCTCTAATTGGTTAATGAGCCTGGCAATCACATCCATCTGTACTCTGCGGACCTGGTTCCAGTCTGTGTATAGAATAGAAAAAGTATATTCTTGGCTGACCAGGCAAACTTTCTTCCACCACTTCTGGTATTTGGACCATTCTGGTATATGGACCAGATTGGATTCCATCTGCAGTAATCCATTGAGTCATTGAAGCAGTGAGCATTGTAATCATCATCACCATCATAGTACTGACAATTAACCAAGCTACTGTCTCTGCTGCCAGGTAATGGAGCACCTGACATGCAGCCTATTCCAGAATCATTTACAAATCGATTCACATTAAGAGCCAAAAGACTGATGCTGAATAGTGCAAGGATCCAAATGTTTCCACAGTGAAACTATTAAATTAATATTGTTACAACTCAGGGTTATTTTAAGGATACACATTAGAAGTAAAGCATAGTATCATTTTTATACCTTAAGCAATAAAGCTGATAAAATACTAGTAAAAGAGAATTGAGGATTTTATCATTTTTAGTCACCTGTTATCTCCATTGGATTGGCTTGCTTGGAATGTTACAAGATATGGCTTTAAATGTATCTTAAATTTATTAAATTACAGGTGTTTTATTGCTACAAAATTCCTCAAAAAAGCAGTTTTACTTAAAGTGGGCCTGCCACTACACAAACTGTAACCTGATGGTGTTACCACCTGTTTGTCGCCATGGAGATGGGACAAGCAAGTGATGGGACCTCCTCCAGAAAAGATACATAGTGCACCTTTAATACTACACTGACAATGGAAATCTCTATTGCCCCAATTGTATTTTATTATCCTATATTTATTATCCTTTATTTCATATACAATTTTCCACCCTACTTCCAAGTCTGTAAAAGTACATTCCAGATTTGTAGGAGCTAGAGGAGCCCTGAAGCCATATCAGTTGTAAATGAAAGCAGCATGAAGCAGAGTCTGATGTGATGTGACAGTAAACAGCCCCGTGAGACCAGCCCTGCTGACTCTGAGCCCACAGGAGTACCCAGCAGGACTCCTCCTTCACAGAGGTACTCTCTCATGTACTGCACAGCTTAGATATTCTGATCCAGACGCACAACTCCTGCTACAACACAAGAAACTAACTAAACTACAAGTGACTGTTTGATGTGTTAAAGAGGAATATAACTGACCCCATAAGATACATAAGTGTTATTAATTCATTGGAGATTAAAGAAAGTGAAATGAAATAATTTTGTAGTGATTCAAAAGAGAGTCTAAAATTGTGTGTACGTTCTGTACAGATATTTTGTTTTGTTTTAACACTTCAATGTGCAGAGATGAGATAATTACACAAAACATGACTACACATCTCAAAGGTTTGTAGCAAGAAAGGGCTGCAGGTGAATTAGTAAAGTTAAATTATATAATTTGAGGAAAATTATCAAAATCTGGCCTACATATTGGTCCAAGAATATTGGCAGATCTTATCGGCCATTGGTTGTTCTGGATTTTGCATCAGCCATGAAAAAAAATATATATCAGTAGACCTCTAATTACAATAATTTATTTACTTTATTTGTATTAAAAGTTATACTGGTACAAGGTACAAACTATTTTTTGCAGCACTGACTTAACACTGATTGATTTAAGTTTTGTTTTGTCAGAAGATAGTTGTAGTAGTTTTGCTGCTACAAGCAATTCTATTTATGCAACCAGCCTTTCCAATTCACCAAGCTGTCAGGATTTATTCAAATGTATGGTTCATCGAGTTCACAAATCAGTTTTCATGGCTTGGATAATTTATGGTTTTGATCTCAAGTAGCTTACATTATTTTCACTCGTGGCCCAGGGCAGACTAGCTCCAATTGGTGTGAAGCAAATTAGAAAATGAACCAGGAGTGTCTGGCTGTGTTACCAGGAAAGTGAGCTCTACTTTTGACTTTCAAATAATCAATGTTATTTTTAGGCCAATTTAATAGGAAAGGACTACAGCCACTCCTCTGTCAGTAAAAGCATGTGCTTTGTAGCACAGTTCTGACTTTTAAAAAAAGAAAGAATTTTGACAATTTTTTGGTGTCTTGATATTTTATGCCAGTCAATAGAAATGTTTGTATGTATGTACACATTTATATCTCAAAGAGCAGCAGCTTTGTTATTGGTGTGGAATACTGTGGTCTATTTCAAGAAGCTGTATTTGTATTTGAATTGACAAAGCCTGTTCTTGGAGGAATTTTCTTTGTCATTGCCTTAAAGACAGGGAATTATGCAAAATTGACTTTTTTGGAGCTTTCCACCATGTTATGATATTGTTCCCTCAACAAAAATATCCCTGAAGTGAAGTTTATATATCACCAATGCATGCTTGAATAATCCTGCAATCTCTCATGGGCGAAATTCAACCTTACAGTTAACAGTACGATCCTGTTCAAGACTAAAGACAAACCTACAAACTAGTTTTCCATAAATATACAAAAGCATTATAAAAAGGTACAACTTCACAAACCTAATGCACTGTGCAGTAAATGTATTAACCAAATACTGTAAATTCTGGACTATAAGCCGCTACTTTTTTCTCACACTTTGAACCCTGCGGCTAATAAAACGATGCGGCTAATATATGGACGAATTCTTTGTTTGGCACATTGTCCATTCATATATACGGTTTATGGTTTAGCAACACAGTGGATACACGCAGCCTGACTGTGGAAAACGCTGCTGTCTGTGCGGGTAACATGTGGATCTAGGGTTAACATGAAGTTGCTACACTAGCTAGCGATGTTGTCAGCATACTCAAAGAGTTTATCGCCATATGATAAAATAAGTTATGATGCTAAATTAACATTAGTGAGGGGATACATCTTACCCGTATGCGTAAATGATGAGAAGAAACATCTCAAACTTCAGTAGCCGGACATCCACTCATACCTGATTGATAGAACTAACCTAGCCCCACTACCAAGAGAGCCTAAAATCCTCCAAGACACTGACATGATACAGACAGGACAGCGGCTCTTGCAGGAGACATGCGCTGTAGAACGCGGGCAGAGACGGGGGTGATGCGCCGAGGAAGATGCTGTTTGATGATGTTTTGAACAATTATTTTGCTATTCATGCACACACCCTCATACGAAGAAACACAAAACACACAAAGAAATGCAGCTTTTAAGTTAAAGGTGATGATCTGGATGTTGAAGAAAATAGAGCTACTGCACGTGAGCTCGGCATCAATGATCCGACAACGGCAACGGAAGCGCAACGAACCAACTTAATGCAAAAAGACGATAAAAGCTTTCAGAGGCAATAAACACAGATGGCCCGAACTTGATAACATTCTTAAAGACATGGACACCTCCCGCTTATATTCAGGTTTGGCCTATATATGTACTTTTTAAAAGTTTGGTTCAAATTTAGTTGATGTAACTTATAGTCCAGAATTGAAGGTGCACTGATTATGTTGTGATAGCGCTCTGAAGGGGAAGCAAGGTAAGGTAAGTAAGGGGAGCAGGGACTAGAAACGAAACCTAATTACCATTTTATTTTTTTGAAAATATTGCATTTTCAAAACGATTAAAGATAACATAGTGATCCTACTAGCTTATGTGTTAGTAATTAATACCCCATACAAGTGTAATACTCCCTCAAGTATAGTATTTGTAGCAAGAAGTGTCCCATACCCTGAGCAGGACGCAAGATGAGTCGATGGGGGCTTTGGCGAGCAGTTGGCAGGTGAGGTCAAAGTACGCGCTGGGCTGCACCGTGGACAGGGTCGTGGAGCAGGGCACGGGGAGCAGGGTCTGACAGGAGGACCAGGCTCTCAGCTCCTCCACCTTGCGCTGGTCATCTGAATCAAAGTGGTAGCTCTGACTGGAGGTCCGAGGCTCCACGGGCTCTCCCACCGTCCCATCAAAAGTCACTGCGGAGAATCCAAATGTGTTGATGAGGGAGATGGAGTCGTTAAAGCGGGACACCTAGACAGAAACAGGTAGTCATGTATTTCAACTGTTTTGAGAAAAGATTCATAAGTTTATTTTAGGTAATATATTCTAAAAATGCACAGTCCAGTATTGATAGTTTTCTGTGACATCACATTGGGGGGGCAGCATGTATAGGTAGTTACCATGGTGATATATATATTTTTTTTGCCAACATATTTTCAGGAGCCTGTGATCAATATAATCGTTCATCGTCCGTTTAGGTGTTTGATTTTCCACAAGGAGGGTGAATGTTACCAACTATTTGTTAATGCTAGCTTGAGATTTATTTCAAACGGACTTGTTTACCAGTACAAATCATCTTGACCTTTGTAATTCCAACTGTCATTTCTTTGTAGTCAGACTGTGTTAAAACAAAGCTCACATTAAATTCCAACTTGAGTAACAGAGCAGTGTCTCCAATTAGCTTTACCCACCAAGGAATGCTGTTGACATCACATGCAAGGTATAAATACTACAATAATCAATAAGCTGCCAAAAAAATAAAGTAAAGCCTACATTGTCGCATCTGTCAGCACAAATTGTATGATTCATTTCCATCTTGAACAGTATTTCACATAATTTATCTTTAGTATACTATAGACCACCAGATTACCTTGACTCGATGCATGCGAATGATGTCCCCAACTTGAAATAGTTTGGGATGCTCTTCCAACTTTGCAAGGAAAATACTGCATCCAATTTTCTGGTTGGACTGGTCAGTGATTTTTAAGGAAGTGCAGTAATCTAAAAGGCATAGTACAGAAAACGGGATCAAATAATAAAACTATAACATTAAACTATACTTTATATAGATTGAGTTACTCTCATGTGTTAGCTAGTTCTGTCCTGTTATCATCTGTGTTCATATAACCGACCTGTTCCACTGGACTTAAATGGCTGTTTGAAGAAAACCACCACTCCATAGACATTGACCCTCGTCCCAACCTCGAGCTCATCCAGCTGACTGTAAGTGTACTTTATCTTCTTGGTTTCTCTTAAAGCCTGCCAACAACAAAATAAAGACACCGTATTGTTCATTTAAATATTACATTTCAGTCTAAAAACACCACCGGCATCAGTCTAACCTTTGAGGCTGTGTTTCTGGTCACCACAGAGTTGACTTCAGGCTGAAGATCACTCACCTGAGAGACACAAACAAACCATCTGTCTATATGTTGTCTAACTCCCAAACTAACTCATCAAAACAGTAACAGCAAGTAAGCACAGCATACACACAGAATACGGTTTTAATATTTACAGGTCGGACAGTCTACATCAGCAATGTCACACGTGCATCCAAGAGGCATAGAAAGGGGAGTCAGAAACTAAAACTTAACAGGGTAAGTAGCCTAATTAATGCAAGCACCGCAGCCACGGCTTGTTATTGCTATTGCTTTTTTTCTTGTCAACTTTTGTACAGTTTTAAAACACAATTCATCAGATCAACAATGAATATGATAAAATAAACAAACAATAATCACTGTTGGGTGTTTAAACTGACGCTTAAATAGGTGGGTATGCTGCATTGCCTCTGTTATGTGTTGCTGTAGATCCAGGTGTAAATTCCAAGTTATTGGACTGTGCAGCGTGCAATCATAAACCATTAACCTCAAAATTTTATCAAACTGTATGAAGAACAGTAAAACACATAGATAGATATGCTAGGATCTTTGTAATCAACAAGTCAGCCAAATCAGCCAATCAAATGAAAATAAAAGCATCTTGTCTGGACAGCAACTTGGAAGACTGGACAAATTAATTGTGTTAAATATTAAATGTAGTGTGGTGCTAAATGTCACTGACTTAATGTCTGCCTTGTTCATAAACCTAAATGTTAAAATGTATTATGATTAGAAAATAGAAGATAAGTTGTGATAGGTATTTACAAGAAAAAAAATCGCTCCTTTCATCCAACACTTGTTCTTTGACAACAGAATATTTTACAGAGCGCAAAAGCTGATAGAAGTTTGGACCTTTGCTTTAGGAGACCTCCTCCTTGTCACCACGGAGTTAACTTCAGGACTACAAACCTGGGGGAAAAATTTGATTGTTATAGTCTTAAAAAAGAGATGAGAGTACAAATAACATTCCTCATTATATCATTTAAATACCATTTACAGACACTCACATAGACAGAAGCAAACTCCCCAGAAAGCAGTAGAGAGTAGGGATGGTGCTTCTGTTTGACTGTAGAAGACTTGGAGACAGAGAAGCCAGAGGCCACAACCACATCCTGCACAGAACACAAGATAAAGACCAGGAAGAAGCTGGGATTAAAGCGGAGAACACACAGAGATAAGTATAAGCCTCTCATTTTGAGGGAGGACCAAGCCAACATCCACCCAGATGCATCCTGGGTAAGAAAGATGTGGAAACAGATGAGCTGCAGTGAGGAGTGGGGTCTTTTTGTTCAGCCAATCGACTTGCTATATAACAGAAGGCGATAAGAGATACAGAAATGATTTTAGAAAAGTCGAGAAAAAAAATGTAGAACATGATCGAGGCTGTGGTGGCAAATGGCCATTAACCACAAAGTAAAACTGTAAAAAGGGCTGAACAGTCTGGGAAATTATTGTGACTTTTCTGACAAGCATTGTGATTAGATTTGCAATTTATAATGGTAAAATGAAAAAATATATATAAATGAGAATAGACTGAAATATGAAGTGACAAACTAATACATTTCATAGAGTACAGAATCACATTCCTGAATATGTTTGTACAGATCAGAAGTACAGGATTAGAAGTTTTTGAATATTTTGTTGTTTGTGGAAGAAATTTCAGCTTTTGAGCTTCGACAATTGCTTCTATTCAAATTGTGATTTCACTTGCAAATCTCGCAAAAGTACAAAAGTATACAGCCTTGGGCAGTTCATAATGTTACTGAACCTTTGGGCAAGACATTTCACCCACCTTGCCCGTATAAATGAGTGATTGCACAGTGGCAGTTTTGCAGTCTCACTTGCATCAGTCTACCCAAGGGCAGCAGCGGCAACTGCACAGCTTATTAGCAGGACGTGAGAAGTATGAATCAATGGCCACAATGTAGTGCAGTACAAATGTAAGGGATTAGTAGTAGTAGTAATAGTAGTAGTAATAGCTTGCTGGGAGTGGATATGAGCGGGTTTAATGTTTTGATCCCCAATTGTAAGTCACTCCCCCTTATCAATTAATGTGCATTCTGCTAATGAACTACTGCACATTGCATCAGGTTTGTGAAGTTCTAGCATGCTTGGTATGTTTATGGAAAATCACTGTGCAGGAGCAGGGGTGGTGTAGGTTTCTGGGCACTGGACAGAATTATACTCCTAACTGTAAAGAGGGTTTTAAAAGGGCTTATGAGTATGCCTGTCCTGATAATTACCATACTGACTTATCATTCAATATGTGATAGAAAAAACAAGATTTTTTTCAGGCTCAATAATCGCAAGTACCTTTTTATTATGTTTTTGTAATATTAAGCCTCTATGATAAGATTTGAGATGTAGCTAAATATGACAATTTATATATACTAGAATTAACTACTAAAGTATTTAATTGTGCCACATTTTTTCACAAAAACATTCACTGGATAATCCTGCTTTGTTTCAATGTTATCGTTTCTCTGGATATATTTCTATAACAATACATCATACATTGTAAAGAGATAGTAATCTGGGAGAGATCGCAAGCATACTCAAACATGGATGGTAAATAATACTTCTTCAGGCATGTTTTTGATGATGGAACTAGGTTATTGCCAGCAAGTTTGCATAACACCCCCTCTTTAAGTGGAAGGCAGTTTGAAAGAAGCATTTAATTTTCTTTACATTTCCATTTGGACGTTGGTGGGTGGAGTTGGCACAAGGTTGGGAACAAATCTTGTGGAGCTTTGAGTAAAATCTGCCACTCTGAGGTTAAAAGCGAGTAGCGTCTTTTTACTGACCTGTCGGCATCTGCTCTGGGGATGCACAAAGGGACCTGTGATCTGACTTTTGCCTTTAAGAACGCCATACAACTTACTGACACATAGCTTAGTCCTGCCCCACGTCTGGATACATGGAAGTAAACACCACATGCAGAGGCTGTGTACAATGTGTCTGTTTACCAGAGCAACATGGGGCCAAATCAAAACTGTTCACTTGCATCTAGGGCCCTGTATAATGAGCTTCCTCCTACTTTCAAAGTGCTGTATCAGAACTGCCACTGAGCCGTCACAGCTGATCACTTCCTCGACATTTTGAAATTATACATTTTTTGATGTCAGTTCAAGAAAAGTCTTGAACTGATATCAGTGACAGGAAGATACATTTTTTCAAGGATTTTCAAGGATAAGCCAATTCAACCTTGAAAGTCTAAAAACATACATTCTACTTTTTGCCATTGATGACTGAGAGATATCCGAAACAATATTGTATTTTTGAAAACTATAGATTTTTAAGGTTGAGTGGGTAGTTTTAAAATGCTGTAAATTTGCATGATGTCAATAAATTGTGCAAAAATCACATAAGTAACTGGGGGTTGTCATAACTTGCTACATTGCATTTTGTTTCAGAAAGATTTCACCATATTTTTTTCTTTTAATACTGACACTAAATGTATCACTGAAATCTAAAGACATTCATAAGGGACTTTCTATGAACGTGTCAAAAGCTCTGGCACAAAAGTGTTTTATTATCACATAAAAGAAATGCTGAACTGAGACTGAGATTAACAGACTTCATCACCCTTCCTCTCACCAGATCTCGACACTTTAAAACACACATTTAAACATAAAGCACCAGTTCATTTGAATAAAAAGATGAATTCTTCTATAATTTAGCTCACCCCCAGGTTAACAGTTCTGGAGAAGTCCTTGGCCAGTGATCCCATCAGGAGCATCTTAATGGACGCCTCCGGACATGTAGTGTTGGGAGCTGAATCCACATCTGGAAAAACAAAAACAAAACTCAAAATAAATAATAAATACACTTCTGAACCATTTTTGTACTACTGAGGAAAAATAAAGGTCACAAGTAAATGCTCAACCAACCAGCCTGTTACACCCGCAAGCGATAATGAAGGGTTTTTAACCCCGCTAAACCTGTTGTTTGGTCATAAACATGCGGTCACACAAATTCATCATTAAATACAGTCTTTCTTCAGACATGATTAATGGGATGAATTTTTTCATTTGACCTTGACTATTTGCTTTTAAGTTTTTGCCTATGAAGTTTTGAGCTTTCATTTAATTTTCTGCACGACGGTCACTGCAAAGCATTTACAAAAACAAAAATGTATAATACCAAAAAATTTAATAAATTAATTAAAAAAACAACAACAAATCAAATATGTAACTCTTCCCTATTTTCAGTTTCTTTTGCTTTTCCAACCCATCTTCGCTGATGTGCATGACTAATTTCATTTATGTTAATTAGCTGTTAATTTATGCTCTATTTATCTCCTCTAGTTCCCATCTTAAAACAACACACACACAGACAGACATATATATGCAGCCCATTGTGAGTCCGGTACCTTGAATGACAGCCTTTAGTATGAAGTCATCATCGTCTAGTGGCACCAGAGCATCTTTGTGCACCACTCTCCCCTGTGGAGCCAAACATGAGTAAAGCGACCGTGAGAGCAGACTTGTTTATGTTTAGCTTGACGTCAGCTGATCAAAGTCGAGTGGGAAACAGAGCGGTGCTGATGGGGGCCTTTGGGAGACGTGCCGACAGACAGGAAGTGTGGATTAGGCCCACACTTGACTGGAGTTCAGAAAGACATTCATACTGTGTTTTTTTAATCCACACAAGATACCAAAAAAGATGAGAAAAAGAGGAAGACAGCTGTATCGTTCCAGACCAAAGTTTTTGATAGAATTTGTGAGGTGTCCAAAATGGTGTCCACATTGATAACTAGTGCAACTGTTGTCTATATTAAAATGAAAGTTCCGACATCCAAGGCTACGTAACCTCACAGAATAGTAGTGTATTTGTATATGTATTTGTATGATTTTTTTAATGTGAATAAGCATGAATTACTACACAAGTAAATGTGCAAGCTTTTAATACAAAGTGGAAATTAAAACTAGCTGAGCAATCAAAACTCAAATACAGGACAATGCAGGATAACTCAAACATGCACAAATGACTGAAACTCAAGCTATGATGAAGAAAAATATTCTAACATGGTTTGGTGTCGAAAGTGTATTTGTCCTGTCAAAAACACAACCAAATAAATTTTCAACATAAAACAAAATTAAATGTACCTTGATATAAGCATGAGTCCAGTCAGGTCCGGTGCAGATGGCAGAGATGGAGGTCCTGGTCAGATGTGCAGGGATCTGACTGCTCCGAGACAGCACACACAGAGGCATGACGTCACCACCAAAATCTAAAAAACACACAACAAAAATAAAGCAGAGAGAAATTAAGACTTAATGTGAGAATTTGAATGTTTTTTATTTGCAAAAAGGGTAAATAAGGTAGACCTGAAAGTAAAAGGCTGTCACTAAATGTAAATTCTGACCTGTGTAATATTTTGAAGCTTAACAACAGTCTCATTCAAAATCATGTTTCAACAAAAAAACTAAAGTTAAACAAGTTTTTTTGATAGACAAGTCGACAGGACAAAGCTGCTAATGTGACCTTTGCCTGCTGGTTTGAAGGTGTTTGGTTGAAGGTGGGGAGGACACTCTGAAAACTCATTAAGTGAATAAAGCGGGTGACAGGAACATCCAGGTCGAGAGGAGCGCGGCCCGTGTTCACAGCAGGTAGCACGTTGGCTCCTGTCAGGGCTCATTAGTTTGAAGAGGGGCAGATTTGACGGGTGGGTCCCACGGTGCGACTGCGGCATAAACGTGGAGGAGAGGGGGTGCAGAGTGGGAACAGGCCGGGGGGCATGCGGCTGCTCACCCGACCAAATGCCGCACTGCTCAGCCAGGCAGAAGGAGAGCAGACCAGGAAGAACTCAAGATGAGATAGGAATGGCCAGGGGGGAGGGACCGCGGGGATGAATTAGGGAGGAGGGCTGATTCATTCATGACTTTAGAAATGAGAGGGCTGTGGGGAGAGCTATAACCAATCACTGTTTTTTGGCTTCTTCCGAAACTACTGAGTCACGTTTTAGTCATAAAAGTCATAATATTTCCCCACAGTTTTGTATTTTTAAGCACTGCATCAAGCAGCAAGACAGTTGACTCACATTTTTCACAAATGTAACAAAACTTAAATTATTTTCTTAAATTACTTGAAACTTATTCAAGATACTGACCAAAGTTTCAAGTAATTTAAGTTACTGACCAATGGGGCACACCCTTTAATCGCAACCAAATTGAAATCACACTTTGATTTGGTGCAATTATCAAACCATACTCATACTTAATTTTCTTTTTTTTTTGGTAAAGGTTCATTCTGTGTTCTTGTTTTTGAATTAGTGATTTCTTTTTTTTTTTTGTCAGAAGGAGACAGGAACATTTATTTACCTGCTTTACATGTTTCGGCTACGTCCTATAGTCTTCCTCAGAAGCACCACGGGATGGTGTAACTACTGTAAAGTGAAGGAGTCTACAAGAAACTTCACTGAACCATACCCAAAATATGTGAAGTAGGTATCTCAGGCCTCCACAGAGTGACCAAGGGACTGTAACAGAGAGAGACCCCCGACAGTGGGCCGTTCAAAGTCAACCCAAAGACAGGTCTGCGGAGAGGCAAGCTCAGAAAAGCAGAGGGTAACTCAAGATCATGCTAACACGCTAACAGAGGAGCGATCTAACATCCTGAGGAGCACTGACAGATGTCCCGATACAGGTGCTACAGCCTTTAGCAGCTAATGGAGGGCAATCAAGCGAAACACTACAATGTGGAAAGACACATGTGGTGCCTTTTGAAGATTTAAACTTAGCCCAAAAAAGAAGAAAGAGAGAACAGTTCAAATGGGGATAAAGAGTAGGGTACAAAAGTTGTTTTATCACTGCATTCAATTCTTTCAAAAGAATCAGTGGATATTTGTTTGAAAAAGCTCAAAGAATGGGAGCTACTAAGCTGCAAAGTGAAGGCAATATGAACACTAAAACGATCAGTCCAAATGTGGTGAAAGTATATGGACTAGGGCTGTCGACTAAAGAAATTCTTGGTCAACTAAAGACATGTTCTGCCAATCAGTTAGTTGGATAAAAAGGGGCTGTGGTAAAAGCTCCCAAAACTATGTATCTGACCCAAACTGTACTCTCAAGACTTGTAGAAAAGTACTAGGAACCAATGTAAAGACATGACTTGAGAATTATGAGTTGAATCTGTCTTTTCACATATAAATACTAAAGAATACCAATCTTCAGCTAACTATCACTCAGTCACTATAAAATTCTCCTTTCGCTTGTTGTCCCATATAAATATTTACAATTAATTAAATAAAATTATTAGTCAAATTTTGGTAAACTAAGACTTCATTGACCAATTAATCGACTAAACGACTAAATGCAATACAAAGTATGGACTTAATACGTGGATAAAGAACAGCAAGATGAATCAATTCAATCAAATGTGCAATTTGAATGGAAGCAATTAGCAACTCGCAAAGGCTGTAATTATTTAAGTAAGTAACAATTCCCATAATTATCCCATCTTGTTACGTACAAAACCTATGAATCCTGTAATTTAGACCTCTACTAACTCTACTATTCTTCATAGATTATTTTAGAAAAACGATCAGCCCTCGAGGGGCAAGCATATTGAGAACAAGATGGGCTTAATATGCACATTTTTATGCAGGTTACAAAAATGAGGATACATTAAACAATATCTTGATGGGCATATAACATTACAATATGACTAAAGGCTCTAAAAAGTAAAACCTGCAAAAGATCCTCCACTATACAATACAATTATAGCCAAAAGTGTCACAAGTGAGACATGTCATCACCATAGTGCCAGTCCAGGCCTAGGTAAATGACCCTTTGATCCGTTACAATAATTCTAATCCCATCATTAAAACACTTCTTAAAACTATAAATTTGCTTTAATTTGGATAAAGGTTATTTCTTACTCAGCCTGTCCCCTTTTCCAACCTGAATGATCTTTTTCAACAACAGACAGCTCCCTGCTGCCACCAGGGGGCGCTCCCACAGAGTCCACTATTGAACTGGGCCTGTGTGAAGTCAGCAGGTGATTTCAGAGTATTTTATCAGGCCTGAAGCAGCATGCCGAGGGAGACTGCCATTTGAATTGCTCAAAGAAGCCCATTTATTAAAAGCATTTCAATCCACAGTTACCTCTATATGGATAGGGAAATTACTATGCAAGAGAGTGCGGAAATGTTTTGAGCCTGAAAACCACTGCAATGGAACTCTGGTCCAAAAGAACTGCAGCTTTAATTAGTGTAATGCCCTGTAGTGCTTCCCTTTAGTTTTTTTTTTTTTTTTTCCCCCATTCAAATGAAAAGAACATGGATCATTTTTCATTTGTATACCTCACTGAGCCTTTTTTCAATAATGTATTCTCTCAAATGTGTACTGCAAAGAAAATCTAAGATGTACAGGCAAAAACATTAACCACATCGATAGTAGTTTTTAAGTTTTGAGAAAAGAGCTTGCCAGAAATACATAGTGTAATCTCATGGGTGTAGTAGGTTCTTACTAATGCTAATAGAAATGCTCCAAACCTGATACCAGTATCAATATCTCCACTATCTGATCGGTATCTGATACTAACTCCCAATACTACACTATATTATAAAGCTCAAAATGATTTATTTTAGATTATTGCAAAACAGAATGCAGATAGCAATAGCCCAATACAAAGGATATAATTTTTCAACTAATCTCTAAATATATGGGCATGTCATAACTTGCAATCACAGTTTTTCTTTTTTTCCAGGGACTTGTATACATAATATTATTAGCCTATTATGGTCATAACAACTCTTTGCATTTAAGTAGCAGTTCTGATGACATGTTCAACTTGTTTTAAGTATTGGTATTGATTGATATAAGGTATAGGGTATGCTCAAGTGTCAGTACTGAAAAAGCTAAAATGCCCTCAGTGACTGGTGTCCACAGCTGAACCTCTCCTGTGTTCCCTCATATCAGACAAACTTACACAGCCTCAAACGGCGATGATTTGTCTTTTAATCTTTGATCTGATGGCTATCTCCAGTGTGTATTTGCGAGGAGCAGGATGTGAATCAGAGGCGCGTGTGAGAGAAGCAGATATAGGCGAGTGCGTTATCTTTGCAGCCAAACCTCCGTCTCCAGGCTCTGGCCCACTCTGCGCACAGGGAACCACAAATCCTGCCCAGAGGCACAAACACACATGGAAACTGATAACAACAACATGACAAACTTCTTCCACTTTATCACAGAAGTGACTGAGTACTGCGTGAAGAAAGAAACCCCACCAAATACTAAATCAGAAAGGAGACATTTGACTGTGACATGTGTTTTACTATAATTTTGGCTGCATGACAATTGCCATTAGAGTTCACAAAATTTTCACTCAATTTCTTGCACTAAATATCTTAAGGTGCACTATTTATCGTTTCTGATAGAGGGTTCGTCACCTGATGCGTGTTGCCACCTGTGTCCATGTATATGTTATTGCTTTTCCTGGAATGTTTCACAGTATAGCAGTAAATATATCTATCTCCATTGAGACAACCAGGCCAAGTTACAGGTCAATAAGAATGCATCGGATGTTGATGGAAATCTAAACAAGGATCTGGGAAGTAGAGACTAACCGATATGGATTTTTTTCATGTCCACTAATGATTGCTTAGAATCCTTCAATATTTTTGGCTGATTTGTAGGGACAATTTTGATTATTTTTCCAATATTGTAACATAAATTTACTACAAACGCCCCCATAGCAGTTTTTTTTTTTTTTTTTTTTTTAAGATATATGAGAGCTTGGGAATTCACGTTTTGTGCGTTTTTTTTCTTTGCACTTAAGTGTTCTTTATGTGTATTCTATAGTCAACAGGTTGGCTAAAACTAAATATTGGCATGTGCTGGAGATTGAAAGATGATTGCCAATACTACAAAGTGCATATGTATCCCCATTACATTGGTCTATCTCTATAGGGAGGGTATCTGGTATAAAATACTACAGTATGTGTCAAAGAAGTTCACCTGTTTACTTGGAGTGGAGACAGAATATTTCCTTCAACCACGTAAGAGAACCTCCAAAAGACAAATCTCTGCCATAGACTGCAACACTTCCATACAACACCTAGACTGAGGAACACATCTCCTCGTCATCGTGTCAGGCTGTTAACAGTGGAGCTGCTGCCATGTTTGGTTTCACGGTTCCTCTATGGGAGATCAGGAGACACCAGAGGAAATGTGAAGTACTGTTCTGCCATAACCTGACAGTGGCCAATCAGAACAAGCAAATGAAACGCCGGATGCAGTGTGACAGGCGCGTCCAAATGTGGCCTACATGCTGTTCAGCTCCTGTGACACAAACCATCACAAACTCTGTCCATTCTTCACTTTCAACTACTCAAACTTTTGCACGATGAAATGTAAGAACACAAAATAACCACTTTAAAAATTTTGTTCGTACACCTTTTAAGGGAGGGGCATATATCAACATCTTTTTGGTATAGATGGTCTGATATGGATGGTTTCTGTTTGCTTTTTTTAGCCAATGCTCATAACCAATATTTGCCTTTGTCTTGCTGTTGTGGCCTAATGTTTGCCAATACCAATAAACTTTTAACATCTATAGTATAAACAAAATTTATGTTAAGTTATAGTGAAGTTTACAAAGTAACTTATCACTTCTGTAAAAATAATAAGAAAATGTATTTATCTGGGATATAGATTCATATTTATATTTTCATTCATTTAGTCTGCTTAAAAAGACAAATCTGATGCATTGAGGACAAACTGGGAATGCCACATGGGCACACAGAGACTGGGGACAGTGCAGAAAAGGAATGTTTCACAGTATGACATTAAACAACTCTACCAGACAAAGCAAAGCTCTCACATCTCCATGGAAAAAAAAAAAAAAAACATTTGACAGACCCTCCACCAGAAAAGTTACACAATGCACCTTTAAGTAAAAAGTCATATTCATTAACTTCTTACCAAATAATTGTGAGAGTAGTTTCTGGATTAATTGAAAATAACCATTAGTTACAGCTCCACTTACCAGTCATAAGAACTGGGGGAGCTCCCTGGACTGCCTTGGGAGTATTTGAGAGAGAGGGGAGAGCAAAGAGTGGACTTAAATAATAGAGAAATGATCCAGAGCCAATAGCACTATAATAAGTCTTCTTAAGTGTCAGAGCAGGCTGCAGTGTCTCTGTACTTCCACACCACCATGGCCCTGCGAGAACAAGACGCTCCTCACACCAAACGGCTTCATCTGCTCTCTGCTAAAACAGTCAAGAGAGAGTTTACTTTGAGAGGAAAGTACAGTGTCTCAATCTGAACTATAAAGTAACAAATGTACAGCTGCATTTTACATTGAAACTAAACATATGGTGTAGTATTAAAAGTATAAGTTATAGAAGAAAACTGATCACAACTATAGCCAAAATCTAAATACTGAATTAAGGTGAATACTAATCAATACTAGTATCGATTTGTGCAAGTATCAATAAAAAATTCACATTCACAGGACAGAAATGAACCTTTCCTGATTAACTTAGTATGAGACACATAAACTAATATACGCCCATGGACCACTATGGAACGTACCTGGACAACTGAGGGATTACACAGATATGAGGCCACATGATAATAGAAAAGAAGTACTATGATTTAATTTTCTAAATCTCTTTCCACTGTCTAAATAAAGTATCAAGTCGATTCCTTAGTACTGAAATTGACTTTGAAATTGAATTTTAGTAAGTAAGTCTTCATTTATATAGCGCTTTTCACTGACATATGTCACAAAGACACTTTACAGAGCATTATTCAGCATTATTCATTCACTCCATACTGGTGGTGGTAAGCGCTTATTGTAGCCAGCTGCCCTGGGGCAGACTGACTGAAGCGCGGCTGCCATGCCAATCGGCACCATCAGTCCCTCCAACCACCACCATCACTCACACACAACCCCACTTTCATACAAGGCAATGTGGGTGAAGTGTCTTGCCTAAGGACACAACACCAGTTTTTGTGACTGGCACCCCAACTGTGGCACCTGATTTTCCCAGCATTCTCCCATCCAAGTCCTAACCAGGCTCAGTCCTGTACATTATACCAAATTCAACACATAATGCTATGAAATTTCAAAAAACAAACATTTTATCCTCCTCCAAAATTTCTGTCAATATTTTATGATAATTCAACCTATGGAGCTCAACAGAAAAACATATAACGTTTTAGAAAATTATTTTAAAAAATGATCGGTCATTGTGGTCATGATAAGCCCTTTTTTCTTAAAGTTTTTTTTTTTTTTTTTCTGAAAGTCAATGTGAAAAATGAAAGGGAAATTTACCCCCTCAATCAGGGCATTGAGCTGCATTCCAAGGACTTAAAACATAATTCTCAGAAAATATAACAATTATTGTGACCCATTTTGTCCAGAAAGTGCTTGATTCATCTAAAAAGCAGGAAATCCAAAGTCATCCAGTTATACTCAGGAAATGGCATTTGTTCTGATGAAGCCATTAAATAAAGTGAAATGTTTGTTTGTCTTGTTTTTGTCGGAGTGCAGCTAGTTCCTTTTAAACGTACTTTCCAAAAAACATTAGAAAAAGAAACGCTCGCTCCACCAATCTTTTATATATTGAATTTTACGAGGACGCATATCATTAAGTTGATATAACGTTGTTTACAGTAAATTAAACAACAAAACAAAACCATGTAAACTGTTGGCTTGTTAATAATGGCTCGGATAAAACACTGCTTACGCAATAGAAGTACAAATGACTCAAAAGTAAAACATATTATTTACAGTATAAATGACTGCAGTGTTTACAGACAGAATAGCTGACTAAACTTAACACTACGCGAAACTCCCTTAATAATGCGTACGTTTTTAGGGTCATTTGACTAAAACACAAGTCATAGCGTCATGTACATAGTAATAAACACATGTAGGAAGATTCGTGAACAAAATAGATTAAATCGGCATGCCGAAAAATATCTATGAAGATTATATTGTTCTAATTTTCGCGTATGACTTTTGAGAATAGTATCGAACGCAATCGTGATAAAATTATGCGGAAGTGCAAAGAACATACGATCTGATGATAAACAATAAACGTAACAGTAACAAGTGGGTACATTTTCGTAAAGTCTGAACTGTACCAAGAAGAAAAACAGCCAAAATATGGAGATAATAAACTTACGGGGTATGGATCAGTTTCCCTCGCTGCTTTCGAATTCGCAGAATACCGTAGGGTTGCCACATCTGCACTTCAGTTTTCCGCCCATGACATTGTGTGAGTGCACAAAATCCCGAGTTACTCCAAGAGAAAAGTAGATGTACCTTAGTCCTCCACTCCATCGGTCTGATAAATAAATTAACAAACAATTAACATAGTAAACCAAACAAAAATGCACGATTTAACAAGATAATTATTTGCAACCTGGCAACCCTGCCCAATTTTATACGGCAGAGAGACACGAAACAGTTGTACTTTAGGACCCCTGAAAACAAGCTTGAAAAGCAATTTTATTATGTGAATTTTATGCACTGGCAATCGCAATAAAATGTATTCTGATTCTGACAATAGCAAATAAAACAGATTCTGATGTTGAAGAGTTTTACACTTAGGTCTATATTTGTCTGATCTAGCTGCATAATAAGCAATATATACGCTAAGAAATAATCAATAAAAAGTATAATTTTAACAATCTATGTATAAATGGGCTTTATTGTGGGCACAATCTTGTGTCTTGTCTTGTGGAAATTGTGTCTTGTTTAATCCTTAATTATTTTATTAGCAAAAATCTGGCAGGCCTACAGTGCCTTTAAGGTCTCTAGTGTTCTCAAACATCTTCACTAATGTCTTCCTGGCAGTCCCAGGAACCTACAGACTAGTTGTTAGCAACTTGTTCATCATATTCATAACGCTTAGTCAGTCAGCAGTGGTAAAACGCACATAGGCTCTCAGCGTGGTACTGGGATGTTGGCAGCTTTGTCGTCTTGGACACTGCCGACATTATTTTGAGCTTTGCTGAAAAGACTCCAAAAAGAGCTAACACTGCAGAGGAGAGGAAAAGTGTCACGTATAGTCAGGATCATACATGCACCTCCTTTTGTGTTAGCTAAGTCAGGTCACAACTCTGGTCAAGACACAGACTGGAGAGTTAAAACTCACGTTTTAATCCTGATTTATTGTATGATATTATAATCTTTGTAATTTTAACACTTTGGCCCAAACAAGTTTTAAATGTGCTTTACAATATAAAAATACATGTTGACATGAATTACAATGGGAGTAGATTGTTGTAAATAATTATGCAAGAGTAAAGAGTAGACTGTTTGGCCAAAACATACGTTTAGGTCTGTATTATCCAACATTATTCAGAAAAAAATTGTAGACAGGCTTGGCTATAATCATGAAGGTGTTATGAACCATCAACCATTAGACATCCGCTTTGCAAATAGCCTATAATTAGACAGAGAGTTGTAAGGGGCAGGATGTCTAATGCAGAAGAATCAATAATCAAACCCAAACTTTAAAATGAAGGTAAAATTGTTTAAACTTCTGAATTATACAAGAATGTTTGAGAGACATGTGGCACAAATAATCTGTGTTGGCACATTTTACAAAAAAGTGCACTGTTGTCTGCTGTCCTGTGCCTCTGGTCCCAGACCCTCCTGCGTTCTAACAGAAAGTGTGATGCACTGGCTCGCGAGACTAGAAATTTCCCTTTCAACCAGCATCTGTTACCCAAACCATCCCATGCTGCTATGATATCAGTGTAATAAGTTGTTTGGCTTACAAGGTCATGAAAGCCTGAGAACAAAGTTATAACACTGAAGGACTAAAAGTTTCCCAAAATATGCCCTATATCTTGAGCTTAGTATCTTCTTGGTGCGTGGTCCTTGAGAATATGAGGATGTATCGGGGTATTATCCACCAGCAGAAACAATAGCATTCCTCTGTCATCTCAGCGTGGCTAATGTCAGGCCATGTTTCATTATAGATGGAGACCTCAGAAGCTTTTACAAGCAGATTACTGACTGTTTAATTAAATTGAAAAATGCCAAACAGTGGCGGTGTGTGTGATAGAGAGCATAATTCTGCGCTGTGTTAGCAGGAGGCTCATTACTCAGCACTAATGAGTTTCTCTGTAGCAGACACTCCACACGCTGGGCCAAGCAGCAGTCCCATGGCTCCCAGCGCACAGGCATAAAGTACACATATGAAGCTGTCCAGAGAAGAAACAGGCTTATGTGGTGGGACTGTTACATTTTAAGACTCAACAAATGTGATAGATTATTTAATTCAGGTTATTTTGTATAGCCTCAAATCACGCTGTACCTGACTTTTACAGTCTTAAAAACATGAAAAAAAATTGTTTATTTTAAACAATATACAGCGGTTCCTCACTTAAATTTATGAATTCCATGATGAGTTATAATTTTTCATAATGTTGAGAAGACAGAGTCGAGTTTTGATAATGCTAACAACAACTAGCATGCTATCACACACTTCCTGACAATAAAATGTTTTATAAATAAATACAGACAGCACACATCTTTTAATGTTAAGAGCTGCTTATACAATAAATCTGTACTGGCACTACTAAAATGTACTAGACTAATTTTGCTTTCAAATACATGAAAAACTCAAATACAGGCCTTTAACAAAATTGTTGATTTAAGCAACAGAACATTATAAAATCAAACCCTGAAACCATCATTGGTCAATAAAATACAAGCAAATTGATTAGGATTCACAGAAACAAGAAAACAGGTAACTGCCCCCTGTCTTTATACCGTTTTCTGCCAGGGAAAAATTTAACTCAGATGATTATTCATGATGACAATAAATGTATACTGCATTTATTCAATTACTATCATTTTATGGCTAAAGACATTTCATAAAAACGATTCTTCCCGTAAGCAGGATCACCTCTGTAGATCTGCTTGTCTCCATGGAGATAGAATATATACCCCAAATGAGGCACGGGGATGAATACTCTCAACCCCTAATAAGATCTATTTGTACAGACTTGGCCATTTGACAACGTGACATTTAACAGCTAACTATAATGTGGAGATTACGAACACTATTGCCAAACTCATTTTCTCATGACTGGCATCCGTCCCTCAAATGGGTCTGGTTGAAATGGAGAGTGCTGATTGCAATTAAAACATGAATTAACTGAGAAATTACTAAATCCAATTTGTAGCATTCTCCTGTCAGTATCAATTAGTAGTTAACATTTTTGACTACCCTTACTGTTTCTCTACCTTGATATGCACTACCTTCATCTAAATTCTTCCTGCTTGACCTGTAACTCTCTGTCCAACCAAAATCCCTCTTCTGCATGCCACTCTGCACTGTCACCCCCCTACCCCCTCTCCCCACCCTCACCCAGCCCCTCAGCAGTCTCCATGGTCTCGTTAAAGCTCCTCTCTGCTCCTTTTCTCGCCGTGGCCCATCTGTATCATCTTCAGAGCTGCAGCCTGCTCCTGGCTCCATCACAACTCTCTCCGGACCTGGTGCCATTGCGGCGCGTGCAGATAACGGTCAGTAAACCTTTATTAGCAGCTGGAGGTCGACTCTGTCAGACTCGGGAGGGAAAGCTTGACATTTTTTCTTGTGGAGGTGTCAGAAGTATCTGGGTCAGAGCAGTGTGTGGTGAAGGTAGATGGAAGGACGCACAGTGGGTGAGCAGGGCGCCGTCTTCATGCCAAATCAAACAGTGTCAGATATGCTTTCAAACATGGACGGACATTAGAGACTCCTAATGCAATTTTATACAACCAAAAAGATAACCAATAAATAAGTATAAAAAAAAAAAATGCAAGACGACTACAGTATGTATTTTGAAGAAGAAAACGTTATGATGCACTTTTAAAAGATCATCTGGAGGAGAAGCAACCATCACATCAATCAGAAAAAGCTCTCACGGAAAGCAATCAAGAAAAGGTGGAACATCATGACGAATATTTGAGTCTGATTGGTTGAAGTGCCATATCAGAGGAACAAGCCAACAAATCAAACTTTTGTTACATCCAGATGAGAGAAATGCACAGACATCTTCCCTTTCCATAAACACACAAAGCAAAAATCTTAATTTCTGCTCAAATAGGCTGTTTATCTGTGTCGCCATGTTTGTTTTGGCTTGTTTTGGGTACTTCAGTTTTGGATTCCGCCCAAACCACAATGCTGCTCTGTGACTGGTCTGACACACTAGTTAACAGGACAAGCTTAACAGCAGGAGCCAGGCCAAAAAGATTCTCGTGAGAAATACACATTTTCAAAACATTGAAAATTGTCAACATAAAGATAGTTTTTGTTATTTACTTACTCACAAGGGAGGCATATGTTTACAAAAATGCATTACGAGAAGTACAGTTTATTCAAAAGGTTACTTGAGTCAGCGACCCTCTGTGCTATCTCACCATATTTTCTATTAACCACTCTTAAAATACACTTTTTTTTTATTATTATAAGAGCAAACCTGAAGGATACAAAGGACGGAGGTTTGCCAGTTCTATAAAAGCTCAAATTGGTAAGAATCTTCAAGTAGCCTATTACAGTTTTTTACATTTCAGAGCTGAAATGATGTACAATTATATATGCTTTATTCATCTGATGACCTTTCTCTTTTTACGTATAGACTTAAATAATAGTCATACATTATTTAGGGGCTGTAATTTTCGTCATAGACCTTTCCTCTTCTTATTTAAAACTTGAGTAAAAAAGGCATTTCTCAGCACATTTTGGGGGTTAAGGCCCCATCGGGGACACTCCTGTTTGAGATAAAATCATTTGAATCAGCAGAGACTTGGAGGGATAAATGGGAACATGACAGTGAGAGTGGATTTAATGGGGCGTGGGACAATGGAGCGCATAGTGAGACCCACTGGGACCTGTAAATGTTTCAGTAATTCTCCTCACTTTCACTGAGACAGAGCTCAAGACTTCAGGAAACTTTTTCTTCACAGATTCAGAAGGAAGGAAAGATTAAAGGTGCATGTGAAGTAAGGTAAGATTAGGTATAAAGTAAGATAAGGTACACTTTATTATCCCTGCATTTGACCCATCCTTCAGTGCTGCTGGGGTAACCTGTCAGGATTAGTGGGACCAGCTCCAGATTTAGAGCAAGTCTTGGTCAGGAGTACCTTATTTGAAGGATTTTATTCTGGTGCATGTTTTGGGTTGAAGGAAGAGCGTCAGCTGC